CTAGGCTGGGAACTGGAGGACCATGAACCAAACGGCTCGCTGCCCACGCGGTTGCCACCCTTATCGACAACCTCGGTTTCATCGAAATCGGATGTGACCGGGTCTCGTCGAGTGAGCCGAGGCTTGGGAACTAGCGTCATCTCCCCTCACTGCTGCTCCCTGTTCGGTCATCCGCGTCCCGTTAGTCTCCCAGCTCCTCCGACGTGATGGCCTTGCGCACAACTGCATCGAATCCGGTCAACGACTCCAGACGTTTCTTACCGTGGCAGCGGGTCTGTCAGCCTCATTTCTTGGCGTCTGGTATTTGCCTCTGATCGCTGTGCAGCAAGAAATCCAAGTGGCATGGGAAAGCGGCCGACGGCTTCCGGTCATTAGTGACGTGCGGGAGCGTTCGCCAAAATTTGGGACCAGTATGGTTTGGTCTCGTCTCGTTTGCGCATGCTGTGGTTGGCACAGTTGCGCGGATAATCATTCGTTCACCGCATTGAGGCCCAGCTCAAGAATGGATTCGGACGGATCTTCGTCTAATGTTGCGTACGCGCGTGAACCACTTGAGATGGACAACATCAGGAAATTCTGGTAACACCGACGAAAAAGTTACTCCAGAATAGATCTCACTCTTTGCAGTATCTCTTCTGAAGACTAACAAAAGACTGGCTTACCCCCACTTATCAGCTACGATGGCGCAACAGAGAGATCAGTCCAGAAGCAGTGTTACCGCCTTCTGGCGTCTTAACCTTGATACTGCAGCCATAGCTACTGCGTTGACCGGAGAAGACCACAAGGACTACTGAACTGACTTGGGAACTTTCACTGGAGTGAGCTTAACTACGGAAAAAATCTGAAGGGAGACAAGCATGCTGTATTGACGGAGTCCCTCCACTAGCCTGGCTGTCGGCTTTTCGACGTGTCCATGGATGCCGGTGGCAAAGCTGCATCCAATGAAGGTCAGCTGCCAGGTAAGCTGACTTTCGGTCTAGCGAGTAGACAACACTGGACCAGTAACAACGGCTCTATTAAGGTACGGAGGGTTGTCTGACAACCCTGTAAAACGCAGTAGGTTCCGATTACGACGCTGAGTTGGCGAGAGTGAACCGCCGTCAAATCAATTTTGTATGCCCCCACTCTGCGAACTGAACTTTCATCCAAGGGCTAGGCGTGGGAATAGGGGAACCACCTCGCAACAAACTCCTGAATATCTTATGCATATCCCTCAGTCAGGAATCGACCCAACCTACTGTCTCCGAGGGGACGGACTCATCCGGATCTCTGTCAGTAGGCTGGCGAATACGGTCACCTGCTTCGGCCACCCCGGAAGACATCTGACCACCTGACACTCGAGTGGTGGCCCTACTCAAAATCAAACTGAAGTCATATTTGTCAGAACATGTTAAACCAGATCAGCGCTGGACTCCTGTACGGTGCCCTAGTGTCGAACCAACAGCCAGAAGGGCCCTTGCCACGGTCTTGTGGGGATGCATTACAGCTCAGACTTCACTTTGCCAGAAAAGCGGGACCTTCTCGGACTGTCTCAAGAATATTATCGATGGCGTGGACTTTAGTCTGACTGTCCCCAGTCTTTTCACCGCACTAACGCAGATGATAACCACCTACAGTACGTGACCTATCTCATGAAATCTGATAACGGAAACTAATGAGAGAATTTCTGGACACCTTTAACGTTGAGCATTCTGTTCGCTCATCCACAACCTTCAATAACATGTCCTTTTCATGTGCAGAAATTGTGTTTACGTAATTATATCATGTAAAATATCAGTAAATTTTAGCGAAAACAGACATTAGAATATATTCGTGC